CCCCTCACCACCTCAGTGCTCCGCCCCTCACCACCTCAGTGCTCCGCCCCTCACCACCTCAGTGCTCCGCCCCTCACCACCTCAGTGCTCCGCCCCTCACCACCTCAGTGCTCCGCCGCTCACCACCTCAGTGCTCCTCACCACCTCAGTCCCCCGGCATCCTTACATGTTTTTTTTTTACCTTGATAGGTGTGGTAAAGCCGGACGAATACAAACCCGTCCCCGACGAGCCGCCCAACCCAACCAACGTGGAGGAGACCCTGCAGAAGATCAAGAGCAACGCCTCGGACTTGGAGGAGGTCAATCTGAATAACATCAAGGTCAGCAATGGACCCTTCACCTCAATGCTGGTTTTGGGGTTCCATGTAGATCCCTCATAGATACCGTAGACCCCTCATAGGTACTGTAGACCCCTCATAGGTACTGTAGACCCCTCATAGGTACTGTAGACCCCTCATAGGTACTGTAGACCCCTCATAGGTACTGTAGACCCCTCATAGGTACTGTAGACCCCTCATAGGTACTGTAGACCCCTCATAGGTACTGTAGACCCCTCATAGGTACTGTAGACCCCTCATAGGTACTGTAGACCCCTCATAGGTACTGTAGACCCATAGATACTGTAGACCCCTCATAGGTCCTGTAGACCCCTCATAGGTACTGTAGACCCATCATAGGTACTGTAGACCCCTCATAGGTCCTGTAGACCCCTCATAGGTCCTGTAGACCCCTCATAGGTACTGTAGACCCCTCATAGGTACTGTAGACCCATAGGTACTGTAGACCCCTCATAGGTACTGTAGACCCACCATAGGTACTGTAGACCCCTCATAGGTACTGTAGACCCCTCATAGCTACTGTAGACCAATCATAGGTACTGTGGACCAATCATAGGTACTGTGGACCCATCATAGGTACTGTAGACCCCTCATAGGTACTGTAGACCCCTCATAGGTCCTGTAGACCCCTCATAGGTCCTGTAGACCCCTCATAGATACTGTAGACCCCTCATAGATACTGTAGACCCCTCATAGATACTGTAGACCCCTCATAGATACTGTAGACCCCTCATAGATACTGTAGACCCCTCATAGGTACTGTAGACCCCTCATAGGTACTGTAGACCCCTCATAGCTACTGTAGACCAATCATAGGTACTGTGGACCAATCATAGGTACTGTGGACCAATCATAGGTACTGTAGACCCCTCATAGGTACTGTAGACCCCTCATAGCTACTGTAGACCAATCATAGGTACTGTGGACCAATCATAGGTACTGTGGACCCATCATAGGTACTGTAGACCCCTCATATAATCTGTAGACCCTTAATAGGTCCTGTGGACCCCTCATAGCTACTGTGGACCCCTCATAGGTACTGTGGACCCCTCATAGGTACTGTGGACCCCTCATAGCTACTGTGGACCCCTCATAGCTACTGTGGACCCCTCATAGCTACTGTAGACCCCTCATAGCTACTGTAGACCCCTCATCGGTACTTTAGACCCCTCATAGGTACTGTAGACCCATAGCTAACATGGCCAACGGTAGACCTTTGTGTTCTGGGCCACAATCCTCATGTAAGGAAGCCCGTCCCATCACTGTGGAGGACTTTTTGGTGGACATACCGTGATGAATGATTGTAAAACCGTTGTCACCGTCTCTCGCAGGACATTCCCATCCCGAGGCTGAAGGAGATCTGTGAGGCCATGAAAGGCAACACTCATGTGAAGAAGCTGAGCTTGGTGGCCACCCGCAGCAATGACCCCGTGGCCTTTGTAAGTTCCACACCGTGTCATGGTCCACAGGTAAACAGGGATCTCCTGCAGCCCTTCTTTCTCCACTTCCTGTCTACATGCACTCACTCCAAGATTGGACGCATATCATGGCTCTGGACCGGCTTCCTGATAGCAATAATGGTGACCTATACCTGGGCAATGTGTGCCACCATGGCCGCTTGTAGTCTCCACTGGGGGGCACATGTGAGGGTGACAAAGCAGGAGCTTAGTTGTAAGACCGTTGTCACCCTATAACAGGAAGTGCCGGAACAAGGACCTTCATAGCAGCACGTGACCCCGATGGAGACTACAAGCGGCCTTGCTGAGACGCCGATGGTGTCACCCAGTGTGGGCCGCACCCCCCTAGTGACGCCACTGATCCCTGGTGATCGTGCCACACATGTCCTTTGTTCCGACATTACCTGTTATAGGGTGACAGCGGTCTCGCCGCTGTGCTTCTGTGTTGTCACCCCACCGCGTGACCCCGATGGAGACTGCAGGCGGCCATGATGACACGCAGGTATAGCTCCCCATTATTATCAGCTGTGCTTCTGCGTTGTCACCCCACCACGTGACCCCGACGGAGACTGCAGGTGGCCATGATGACACACCAATGGTGTGGGCCGCACCCCCCTCCCTAGTGATGTCACTGATCCCTGGTGAATGTGGCACACATGTCCTTGTTCCGGCATTTCCTGTTATAGTGTGACAACGGTCTCACAGCTGTGCTCCTGCGTTGTCACCCATGTATGTGACCCCCGACGGAGACTGCAGGCGGCCATGATGGCACGCATCGAGCAGGTATAGCTCACCAATGATGTGCATCCGACGCTGGAGCGGGTGCATGTAGACAGGAAGTGGCGGGAGGCCCCAGGAAACGCAAATAAGAATGAAAAAAGGTGAAAACAAGTATTTTATGGTTAAACTATGTCCATCGTTCGCGACCCGCAATGCACAGAGCCAACTCCATGTGTCCAGGGAGGGTTTAATCAAGCTGCAGTACCAACGATCAGCCACCAGGTGGCAGCACAGAGCCGGATTACTGGAAGCGCAGCAGATAAGACGTCAGCCGCGCTCCGTCCGTCCGTCCGATGTTAAATGGCTCGTCTGTAATGGATGTTCATTAACTAAATTCTGCTCCCCGGATGTAAAGTAATTGAATTAAAAAGCCATTTTTTGCCGGCCGGGGAGTTTAAATCCATTACTTTTATTACCTTTCATCTGCAAATTAGCAAATAATGTGCCCTGAAGAAAAAAAAAGATGATGGAAGTGCAGGAAAGGAAATACAGGAAACGTTCAGGTGTCGGAGTGACCCGGGCGACGTTCATTCCGCGCTCGCATGAAAAACAACAACAAAAAAGCGCCATCCGAATTTATTCTATGACCAGCAAGTAGCTGACTTTGACTTGCAGTCCCTGTACAGCAGGGCTTAGACTAGGGGGAAAGGAGGAGGGAGAAGGAGCACAAGCAAGTCAGCTGTGTGCTGCAGGGCTCGCAAGGCGCAGGCTGGTAGAAGGAGAGAACAGAGTGGCAGAGAGATGAGCTGCTTCTCCTTTAACTATCCAGTCATAGGGCGGAGGAAGGGAGAAGACCTGTGCGTGTTACTGAACTGCAGAAGCAAGAAACGGGTCACCCTTGCCCCGCCCCCGGATCTTTGTAAATCTGGGGACTGGATGGACAGGAATAGAAATCCTTTGGCAGGTGAAGTGTCTCCCATATACATATTTTATCTGTGTATTGTGCTGTTTGCCTGGAGCTCAGCTTTAAATATTTATCACCTCTCTCTCTCTCTCTCTATATACGGCATTGAGGGCTCCCGGGGGGCTTCCTTCCTGCATGGGAAATATTGTAAAATGTGTGCAAACAGAAATACATTTTGTAACACCTACCTACTGTATGTGGAGACAGGTTGGTGGACAGCTGACCATCACACCTAGCTATATGGACAAAGGTTGGTGGACAGCTGACCATGACACCTACCTATATGTCCACCAACCTTTGTCCATATAGGTAGATGTGATGATCAGCTGTCCACCATTTGTCCATATAGGTAGGTGTCATGGTCAGCTGTCCACCAACCTTTGTCCATATAGGGAGGTGTGATGGTCAGCTGTCCACCAACCTTTGTCCATATAGGGAGGTGTGATGGTCTCTCTCTCTATATACGGCATTGAGGGCTCCCGGGGGGCTTCCTTCCTGCATGGGAAATATTGTAAAATGTGTGCAAACAGAAATACATTTTGTAACACCTACCTACTGTATGTGGAGACAGGTTGGTGGACAGCTGACCATCACACCTAGCTATATGGACAAAGGTTGGTGGACAGCTGACCATCACACCTAGCTATATGGACAAAGGTTGGTGGACAGCTGACCATGACACCTACCTATATGTCCACCAACCTTTGTCCATATAGGTAGATGTGATGATCAGCTGTCCACCATTTGTCCATATAGGTAGGTGTCATGGTCAGCTGTCCACCAACCTTTGTCCATATAGGGAGGTGTGATGGTCAGCTGTCCACCAACCTTTGTCCATATAGGGAGGTGTGATGGTCAGCTGTCCACCATTTGTCCATATAGGGAGGTGTCATGGTCAGCTGTCCACCATTTGTCCATATAGGTAGGTGTCATGGTCAGCTGTCCATCACACCTACCTTTATGGTCAAGGGTTGGTTGACAGCTGACCATCACACCTACCTATATGGACAAATGTTGGTGGACCGCTGACCATGACACCTACCTATATGACCAAAGGTTGGTGGACAGCTGACCATCATACCTACCTTAACGGACAAAAACTGGAGGACACCTGACCATCACATCTACCTATATGGACAAATGGAGAACAACATGACAACTACTTATATGGTCAAAAATTGGTGGACAGCTGACCATCACACCAACCTATATGAACAATAGTATGTGGATGTCCCTTCAAATGTTTGAGTTCGGGTGTTTCCATTGAAGGGTAATTGTGTGCTTCCATCCCTGTGGTAACAGTTTGATGAAACACGTTTTCTGTTCCACCATGACTGTCCCCTGTGTACATAGCCAGCTCCATAAAGACATGGTGGGACCAGTTTGGGGTGGAGGAACTGGAGAGACCTGCACAGAGCCCTGACCTCAACCCTACTGAACACCTTTGGAATGAATTGGAACAGTGATTGTGAGTCAGGTCTTCTCCAACATCAGAACCTGACCTCACAAAATGTTCTTCTGGCTTGTTATCCTTCCTGGAAAAGTGGAGGCTTTTATAGTCCCAATATGGTGGTATTGGTGTGGCAACTCCATGGTTTTGGGATTGGATGTCCAACAAGACCATATGGGTGTGATGGTCAGGTGTCTACAAATGTTTGGTCATTCCCTGTACTGGATGAAAGGACTGCCCGCTTTGCTCATAGCAACCCAACAAGCCCAACTCAACAACCCTCTGCTTTCTTCTCTGGCCTATGCTAGATACAGATAGGTTGCTGTAGGGCTGCACAGAAAGTCCTCTTGCTGGCACTCTCATACACAAGTATGTTCTTCAGATATAACTGATAAGTCGTGACTGATGGTGCAATGAGCGGACATGTTCCTCTTGAATGGTCAGAAGGTGTAGGCTCTCCATTTTTGTTGCGGGTGGATAGTGCGTTGCCCTGTGTGCCGTAGCTTACCAGCGGCCGTCACACTGCCCCCTACTGGCGGCTAAAGGGTTTTCTGTCTGTTTGCAGGCTGTGGCCGAAATGTTGAAGGAAAACAAGACTTTGGAGACTCTGAATATCGAGTCAAATTTTATCTCCGGCGCGGGGATGATGGCCGTCATTCGGGCCATGAAACACAACTCTACATTGACTGAGCTCAAGGTGGATAATCAGGTAATTTTGTTTTATTATTATGAAGAGATACAGTACAGTTCCAAAACAGGAGGACCTGCTCATGGGAGCTTACAATCTAGGAGGGGTGAGCAATACAAACGACATTGCGAGGGATGAGCAGATGGATGGAGGTGGGATTCCTTGAAGAGATGAGTTTTCATGGATCACCTAAAGGTGGACAGAGTGGGGGATAGGTGGACAGATTAGGGTAGGGGGTTCCAGAGGATGGGAGAGGCTCTGGAGGGTCAGCATGGGAGGAGGTCACGAGAGAGTAAGAGAGCGGGAGTTCTTGAGGTGAGTGAAGAGGACAGTTTCGGTGATCTTTTTCGAGAATGAGGTCGGTGATGTAGCTTGGGTGTAGAGTTGTAGATGGCTTTGGTATTGTTTCGAAGGTAGCCACTTGCCTAGTGGGAGGTGACTGAATATATGACCCTTGTTCTCCACGCAGCACCAGAACCTCGGAGACACAGTAGAGATGGAGATGGCCTCCATGATTGAAAACTGTCCTTCTATCGTACGATTCGGGTACCATTTTTTGCGGCAGGGACCACGGGCACGGGTATCATCGGCAATCACCAGAAACCTGGAACTCCGTAAGTATCCAGCAGAGAAGACCTCATGGAAACTCAAGCCCCGTGACACTCCACCTGAACTGGTGGAGCTCTGCTGGGAAGTGTAGTTCCATGCACAATGGCTCTCACAGGTGTCTCCAATGTTGGCTTGTTCGGTGGGGATAAGGGCGGAGCCGGCAAAGCGGAAGCCATTTTGTTCTTCACAATCTATTTTTTTCTTTTGTTTTGTCAGGTCGCCAGAACAAAAAGAAGAACCCCTAATGTGTCCTGATACTTGCCAGATACCCAGCCTCATTCATCTCCTCAGTGTTGTCCCTGAATTGCCACCATTTTGTGTACATCTACCCTTCGATAGAAGATATATGGCATCTTCTCGTGGTTTCCCGTATTTCCCCACCCTTTCTCTCCTACACAAGTCCCCAGGCCGCCTCCTTCGCCACGGCCATTGATGTCCTACAGCGATCCCTTTGTATACACACAGAGTGGTGGCCATCTTGTCTGTCAGTCTGAACCAATACATGTAAGGCAAAGGACCGGCCGCACATCGGTGATGTCATCGATTCAATGGAATCTATTGTTCCTGACTTGCACACAGAAGCCCCGCCTGGGACCTCCCCAACCGACGTGTTTCACTCTGGGATGGGGGCTTGTTTGTAAAGATTAATGTCTCCTCTCATTAGAAGTGGAGGGACACTGAGAGTGTCTGGAACAATAAAGTTTTATTGAAATGCTGTCATCATCGGTGTGCGGACTGTCCTTTGCAAGTGTGTCCCTATGGGTAGCATGGAGGAGCTCCATCCTGCTTGCACCTGCTTCTTCCAGTGGCAAGTTTAGGAGCGGCAACTTCTCCTGCTTCCTATATGTAAGGTGGTGGCCTAGCCTGTAATGTCACCGAGGTACAGTGGAGGTGGCCATTTTGTATTTTTGAGAGCATGGCCCATCAGTTCCATGTGCGCCAGTGACATCGCTGAGGGAAATTGGCCATTTTACTTCCCCTGTGCACCAGTGACAACGCTGGGGTACAGCGGAGGTGGCCCTTTTTTTTCCGAACTGTCTTAATATTTATAAGCTTGAGGCCTGCCTATACCCCTGAGTGGAGGTGGCCATTTTGTGGGCTCTCCTACTGTTTTGAAGGTTGAGGCCTTGCCCATAACCTTTAGTTTACCTGGGTCAGGTGGACATTTTGTGAGCTCATCTACTTCTTTGAAGGCTGAGGCCTACCATTTCCCTGTACACCTGGGACACCACAATCGCCGCGGCCATTTTGATATTTATAAACTTGAGGCCTACCTTTTCTCTAATCACCAGATACCCAAGTCTCCGAGAGCAAGGCCCACTATCGCACTGGAAGAGTACAAACACTTGGAAAATGTCAAACAGCCATCTTACCCAACCCGTTGCCGTAGCTCCAATGAGGCCATAACAATGATCACCCCCGGTAACATACCTCCAGGCCCACAACAATGGCCACCTTCCCTTATGTAGACCTCCAGGCCCTGCTTGCTTGTAGCTGAAGATGTGAAATTGAGTGGCGGGTGGAAGGGGCGATGCCGGTAAAATAAAAAAGTTCAATGTATTTAAAAGTTGTAAATAAAGAAAGTTTTACCTGTTTTCTTTTTGTATTTTTACCTCCTTTCATTCTTCTCCAGGCCGAGTCCTCTGTTTAAAGGGGAAACCATAGTAGAAAAAACTTCATAGCTAAGATTAAAGGTTCAACTTGACGGACCTGCGTCTTTATTCAACCTCAAATACTATGAAACTCTGTAAGATAGACACTCGAGATACCTGTAGCCCTGTTTTCTTTTTGGGGGGGGTTAAATGAAACTGCTCTCTCCAAATATAGGCTATGGCGCTAACCTGTGACCCCTAATATTTCCCCAAAGCCCCTAAAAGTAAAGTAAAAAATAAAAGTATTTAATAAAAATGAATTAATAAATAAAAAAAAAAAAATTAAAACGTTTATAAAAAATAAAATATTTGAAAAAATAAAAAAACATTCTCGGTATCGGTTTCGGCCTGACATTTTTTTTTATTTCGGTTTCGTTTCGGTTTTAAAAATTCCATTTCGGTGCACCTCTAATATATATATAATGCAAACTTTATATAGATCAAGCAGATAATGTTACATACAATCCAAGCACCAACATTCAGGAATGACAAAGAAAATGCTCATATGTCCTATATGAATGGTGCATCGATACCCGGGAATATATACATACCCAGATAGCAAGGATAACTTGCTACAAACCTGTGTCCGGGTTAAATTGTAATTCTTTGTAACTTGCTGCGCACATTCCTGGCAGGTTGTAGACTCGCAGAACACTCGCAGCACAAGTTCTAGGCGACACTTTTTGAATTTGTAGCAAATTTGCTTGGCAAGTCTACAGCTAGAGTCCTACAGGTCTAAAGGTGCCCATACATTCTCGTATGAGAATCGCGGGAAATCCCGCAATCGTACGAGAATCGAGCAGTGTGAACGGAGACGTGCGACCGTTTCTACTGTACGGCCGCACGTCTTTTGTCTAAGGAGCACGCTCGAAAATCAGCCGAAAATCGTACGATTTTCGGCTGGTTAGAGCGGTGCTTGGGAGACAAATGCCGAACGGCATTGCGGTCATCGGAAGCCCGCCCCTC